TATATATATATATATATATATATATATATATATATATATATATATATATATATATATATATATATATATATATATATATATATATATATATATACTAGTCGTTTACCCGCGCTCGGCAACGGGTGCGGATAATTTTTTTAAGAAATTAGTTTTTAGAGGTTTTTTTTTGTGCAAATAGTTTACTACATCTAAACAATTATCAATAAGAGTCATTCTAGCAATTAGTTTCTTTTCAGCGGACAATGATTAGTTTCAATTCAACATTTAGTTTGCTTTAAGAAACATACCAAATTAAAAAGAAGACACATGCAAGTATTACCAAACGCAATACAGTGACCGATGAATAGTTTCCTTTTGGGGTCACTCGGGGGATAGGTATCCCATGATTCTCATTGTTAGTCTACCCAATTCAGTCCTCATATTTGATGGGATCGGGAAATCCGGCCCCTTTTAAAAAATTAAACTTATCCCTAGCCCATCCACAACTCATCCCAGAGGCTACGATATATAAGTAAAAAGATATATTGAAGAATGAAGACGTTTGGTTTCTTTAGCAGAATAATATCCCTCATAGTCGTTAAACCGTAAAAGTAACAAAACGTTTTTGGACTGTGATTAGTAGTAACTTTTGGTGAACGTTGAATATATTTTTTTTAAATTAAAAATAGATATTAAAAATATTTTTCTTTTTCAGTTCAAAACTAAAAAATTTCATTGATTAAAACTAAAATTGATATTGTTGTTTTCCTTTTAAAATAAAACTATTTCAATGTTTTAGTAATCAAAGAAATTAAATACATACTCGGCTAATCTTTTTTGAATAATTATGATTGGAATTTTTTAAAAAATGATAAACTTTAAAAAGACAATTTTTAATTTATTTTATTTTTATTGCAATTTATAATTTGTAACATCTTATATTTATGTATATATGTATATCTATACTCTTATTATATAAAATTTGTTAAATTAGCAACAACAATATATACATTTTCAGACATAAAATTGTCCATAAACATAAGGATACTATATATATATATATATATATATATATATATATATATATATATATATATATATATATATATATATATATATATATATATATATATATATATATATTAAAAAAAAAAAGAAATAAAATAAAAAATGAACTATAAATTGAAGTTTTGATAAAAACAAATACTTCTTATTTTAAAGATAAAATAATCAACTATATAGAAAAATAAAATAAATCAAACGTAACTTTGAAAATTAAACAAACTCTATATAATTCTCATCAAGCTGAAAATAACACCAAAAAGCTATTGTTAGTTCATATCTACAACAAAACTAAAAAAATCAACATGAAACATTATGATGCAAAGCAGTGCAAAACCAAACTCTGAAGCTTTAAGGGTTGTACTGCATTTAGTTGGCCCTTTTTCCGGAGCAAACTTTCCCCCAATATCTTTTTTTTTTCTTTCTTCAATCTAACGTATAGCTTTAGCATTAGGTTTTGGAAACTTGTATCATGATACATTGTACTATCCATACAATTCGCTCGTTTCTTAATATTATATTTCCTTGTGATTTGTTTGTTTTGAACAATCTCAAAACATTTCATATTCATATTCATGTTTCTTTTCGAAAGAAAAAAAATAATAAAATCTTTAATATTTTGGTTTCATGATTTTATTAGTATTTTATCTTTCAATGCAAATAAAAGATAAAATTTGACCACTTTCAATGCAAATAAAGATAAAATTTGACCAAAATTTGGATGCATGTTAATTGTCGTTCCATAAAAATTTGGGACTGACTGGACAAAGTGATTTGAGGCTAAAACTCTAAGTCCATCTCAAATACACCAATCATATTTATATAAATATCTATGCAAAATGTGACAGGCGTGTTTCATTTTACTCGATTAACATTCTAAATTTTAATATACATAATATTTATTAATAAAACTTGAAAAAATAGAGAACTTTGCATGCATGCCTCATCTTTGACGGACCACACTAATTAGTGTTTTTAAGTACGAATAATGTATCCATAAACTACAATAACATTGCCTACATTAAAATTAATTCATTAAATTATGATAATGTTGGCTACATTAAAGTTGAATAAAATATATCCATAAATTGTGGTCTCAAATGAATTCAAATTTATATATCAGTTGCGAATATGACAAATATCAATAGCTTCAAATAGATTTCTTGTACAAATGTGATTTAAGTCGAGCAGACGACCGTTTTGCCTCTTTCATAGATAGCATTCTAGAATCTGAATAGTAAAAACAATGATGGACAATGTACAACCACAAAACACAAACTAAACATACTCGAATGTTGTACATCAGTTCCTGGATCGCAGACCAATATTTTGGGACTGAATGTTAAAAGGCTTTGATTCCGAGTACTCTTTGATCATCTGATGCCTAACCTTTGACGGATTCCCCTGTCAATCAATATTATAAAATATCATCTAGTTAAATGTCCACAAAACACTCTATTTGTAGCTAATAAAGTATATATATGACATTTGGTTAGTAAAGGACAATAATACCCTTCACTTTAAGATTTAAGATACTCCAAGAAGAAAGGCTAGGAAAAACCAATCATTTCCATGCCATAAAGACTTCCAGGAAGTTGTAAAGGTGGAAGCTTTAATCTTCCCAACTTATGTTGGTTTAATATTTTATTGATTTATTATCTCCATCCTCCCCATAGCACAACATTTCATAGCTGATAAGTGGATAAATACTTCGCCTATGCTTAAAAAAGAAAGCAAACATCTATACCACCTTCTGTCCCATCTCCTTGCCACAATCTACAATATTTGTTAATTACTCAAAGCATCTTCTCAACTGACCATTCACCATCCAACTTTTGTGCATACATTCAACTATTGTAGAAGTTCACCACCTACAAAAAAAGCCACCATTAAGTCAAAAGAGAAAAAGTGGTTGCATCACCAATAAGAAAAAGCTTCTTTTTTCATGAAAAGATGTAATTACACTGAAAAACTAAAGAGTAAGGGCTAAAAACAATAGCAATAGCAACACCAACACCATCAAGAATCAGGGCATCTCACAATCTTTATTTGCATAAACATGAACTACTCCATCTTCCATTTGAAATTTAGTTCCCCTACATAGGTTGCAACTAACTTGTCTTCCTACTCCTTCTAATCGATGTGACAAAGTTCAATCCTTACCATGGTTTCAATTGGTGTTGTTTAACATCACTATTGCAAATAAATAATTCAGTAAATAATGAGTATAAAGAATCCCTTTTTTAAACCTCAAAAGATGAAAAATGAGAAAAACAGTTCCATCAACCACATATTTACCTCTGATAGAGGCTAGTGACATCTCTTGGAGCCGAGTTCTATATTTAAGTTAACCTTCCTGAATGCTCATATGTTTGAACATAGTTTTTCATCATTCTATCAGATTGATATTCCATTGAAACAATATTGAACTACTTTACCTCATTTCTTCCACTTCTTGCTATTATTCCCCTCTCGCTCCTACATGAAAAAACTAACTTTTTAAAATACCGATTCCATTATTTGAGTATTACATATTACCATCTTTCCATTCTTTTCTGTTCCTTCCCAATGCACACACATATGGGTTCTCTTAGAATAAATATATTTTGAGAAGTACACTTTACCATTCACCTGAAAACAAATAAAAAAGGTTGAAATAATAAGATATTTCTTATCTATAGAGTCAAAATTACTTTCTACAAATAAAACATAATAACTATATTTAGTTTCTTTGGCCTCGTTCCCTTTCAAGCCAACCCTCTATCTGCCTGCACACATAATTCTCACATTCACAAGGTCATTTTGTCATGTTTTTTTAGGAATAATGGTATTAGCAATTTGTTACCATCTCATTAAGAATCCTGCCAATTTTGAAGTTTAAAAGTGACTACATTACACTCAAGAAACTAACTTTAGCACTATATCTGAATTTCAGTTTTAGAATTCTTCAAAAGCTCATCAACATGATACTATAGAAAGAATTGTAAACCGATCTAAGTACTAAAACACAAAAGATAACACACACACACACACATAAAATCAATTAATGAATCCACACTTAAAAGTAAACATATATATAGGATTCCATGTGCTCTTTTTAATTTTAATGTACCAAATGTCACTTACATATTTAAAATAGTTTTGAATACATCGGAGTTTGATATCATAGACCCTATACAGATGAGCAATGATGATGTCTATGGTTTTCTCTTATTCTTCCCATACTCATCTTTACCCCTTTGATTTTGATTTATGCACCATTTTTCGTTCGTGAATCTGTCTCCAACTATTTATGGCAAAAGATCTAAGCATTATTCTTCTTATACAAAAGGGAATTAAATAATAATAATAATAATAATAATAATAATAATAATAATAATAATAATAATAATAATAATAAAAAAATAATAATAATAATAATAATAATAATAATAATAATAATAATAATAATAATAAGACTGATGAAGGTTTCACCTGGATGGAAATCATGAACATCTCTTTGAAGAGCTAGGGTTTTCTATGAGAGTGCTAAAAACTGCAAGATTCCAAGACATAAATTAGATCTGAAAGTTTATATTTGCGATTTCAGCTCAAAAAAACCACCCCAACTTTTCCCTTCGACATTACTTAGAAACGATCCATGCACCAAGAGACCAGATCCAACATTAATATTTTAACCATCGAAGTTTAAAGAAGGAGGAGAAAAAGAAAAGGAGAAAAGAAGAGAAACACCGGAGCAGAGCATGAATAGGTGGCCGAGAAGAAGGAAAAACTTCATTGCTCATGGATTTCTTGATAGGATTTTCAGAGAGATTTTGCTTCTTGTTTTCAAATTTTAAATTCCTGGTCTTTAAGAGAGATGACTCTTGGGGCTAAAGATTTCAAAAAAATTGAATTGCCTGTCATGGTCGGAGGTACATGATACGGGTTGGGGCGAACGATGATTTGTGCGTTGCATCTCAATGTCCTTCTTGTAGATTTGAAAATTGAAACTGAAGCCCATGACAGACATTGAACAGACCTGGAAGCAAATGATCTGCAAAATTTCAGAAAAATCAACGATATGAAAGGGGTTACGTTTAGAAAGACCAAGATAAGCATCAAATGGCTAGTTTGTTCAATATTTCCATAGATATTAGAAACAAAAAAAAAGTATGAACTGTTAAAAACTTAAGGCAGCAAGAAACAACATCAATGGTAGATCGTTAAAATTCTTCAAAAGGTTTGCTGCAGATTTTCGCGACTATTAGTAAATCAAACATGTTATAAAGATTTCCATAGAAAAAAAAACACAACTCACACCTGTATTTGAGCCCTAGCCCGTGAAATAGAAGCACACATCTTAACATACACAAAGTAAGAACATAAAGAAACTCTTGAATAACCTACATCGATCCGGTTTATACTGTGAGATGTCTGGTGGCGATAGTGGAGCCACTTTAGGGATATGGTTTCCGGTGTGCGATGGTGGCGTTGATGGTGGCAGCGAGATAGAGTTCGGGTTTCTCATCTCGATATAAGGTAGAAGCGAGCGGCAGATGCCAGTGAAGGTAGGTAACGACAACATCAGGAGGTTGGTGGTAACCGAGGCTACTGGAGATTGAAGAGAGTAAGGAGGGAAACGGAAGAGATATGGGAGAAATGGCGATGGATGATGGAACATAGTAGGGTTTTCCAAATACGCGTGTGTATACGCTTACATTGTAAGCTTAACAGGATTGTACATGGTGTTATAAGAGTTATACCTCTTAATTTTCAAGAAATAAACAATATGTTTCGTGTGTATACGCTTACATTGTAAGCTTAACAGGATTGTACATGGTGTTATAAGAGTTATACCTCTTAATTTTCAAGAAATAAACAATATGTTTAATAATATAGTGTGTGTGTGTGTGTGTGTGTATATATATATATATATATATATATATATATATATATATATATATATATATAGGGGATTCTGTTGAGAAAAAAAAAAGATTGAAAATTGGGGAATCATTCTCAACCAATCATTTATTTTTGCTGCAAAAGCCTCCAATGTACCGGCGAAAATGGGAAAGGAATATACATGTGTTTTCCAACAAAACATGTTTCCTTAAACTATACTAAGTATTACCTTAATATATATAAAACATAGTTTTTCATTTTTATTTTTTATTTTTAAGAAGCTATTTTTATCGAAAAACGATTTTAAATATACCAAAATTCATGATTTTTTATTCTCTACAAATAGACATCCATATTGATATAATTTTAAGATAAAATAAAAAAAAGTATTTTTTTTTTATATTTTGAGCTATCGTTATTGTAACACCTGGTTCCTGGTATGTAAAATTTATCTAAGTATTTTGCAATTTTAGCCTTGGACTCGGCGAGTTGTAGGCCCGACTCGCCGAGTAGAGACGGGATATGGAACACATTTAAGTTGGCGACTTAGCGAGTCCATATCCTAGACTCGGAGATTCCCCGCTGTCTGGTAAAACCCTAATTCCAAGTGTTTGCACCCTATTTAAACCAACCTTATGCGCCTCAAGCTCGCCCCTTTCACCCTCAGAGCTCCATATATCGTCTAACCCTTGTTCCTTGTGAGATTGAAGTGTTTTGGTGTGTTTTCTTGAAGATTTTGAGAGAGAAAAAGAGTAGATCAAGAAGATAAGAAGGAGGCCAGACACCTTGGTGTTATTTCAAGTGACTCCCTTGAGGTATAACTCAGTTTCCCTCTGTTTCCATGCTTATAGTCCCTTATAGCTCCATTAAAGTCCTTCTTGAGCCATTTCCAAGCTTTGGTATGACTTACGGTCTGTAATAAGTTGATTAACCTTTAAATCTAGGCATGATTGAGCTCCAGGAGCTCGGATCTACTGCCTTTATGAAGCCATATTGCATGAAAGCCCTAGATCTACTCTTTTAGTGCATTTTGAGCCCTAAAACCTTCATCAGTGTTTATTTACACGTAAAGTTGGAAACTTTACGTTTTAATCAAGCCCTAAGAGCCCAGATCTATGTATGGCATGAGCTGGATTCAAGTAAAATCGAGTATATAGTATTTGCATGTGAAAGACTCGGTGAGTCATTTATCAGACTCGACGAGTCGAGTCGCGAGTCCTCGACTTTTCCCCCTTTTCGTGTTTGTTGGGTGGAGTAGTGAGTCATGGGGTGTGACTTAGTGGGTCGGAAGCCAGACTCACTCATGAAGGAACTCGGCGAGTCAATGCCCTAACTCGGCGAGTTCAAGGCAATCTTCTTGTCTCAAGAGCAGACTTGGCGAGTTGTTCATTCAACTCGGTGAGTCTCAGCATAGATTGCTCTTCGGATGAAGATGAACTCGACGAGTTATTCATACAACTCGGCGAGTAGGATCAAGGACTATTGGACATCGATTTAGAAGGAAAACTCATCGAGTCAATGCCTAACTCGACGAGTAGAGACGCCATTATGGCCAATCGAATGGATAGGGACTCGATGAGTTGGCGAGCCAACTCGACGAGTCGGGTCAACTAGAAGTTGACTTTGACTTTGACTCTTGGTTTGGTTAGGGGTAAATGGTCATTTTACCCTGAGGTCGATTAACAATATTTGATTGAGTGTTTTGTGGGAATTATAGTCGGAGGATTTTCGGGGCAGCAAAAGAAGAAGACAGTCAGTTCCCACGCAGATCAGCAGCTACTTTGAGGTGAGTTACCTTCCAGTAGCGGTGGGTCTAAGACCATAATGTCGGCCCACCAGTAGGAGACGTATGATAAATGATTGTCTTTGTGATATCATCTAGGTTTGCTACTACCTGATATGTTATATGCTAGCATGATATGTTATATATGATAATAGTAGAGTTCGGTTGTTAGGACCGAAGGGTAGTCAGACACCCCAGATATGTTTGACAGTATGTGATGATATGTTTGCATGCTGGCTTGTTATGTTATATGTGATAGAGGTAGTAAGAGGGGAGCAGTCCCCGAGTTCAGTTGTTAGGACCGAAGGGTAGTTCAGGCACCCCATATATGTCTGATAATATGTTATGTTATGATATATGTGATAATAGCAGTAGGGGGTGAAATAGTCCCCGAGGATCGGTTGTTAGGGCCAATGGGTAGTCAGCACCCCAGAATGGCTTGACATGGGTAGTCAGCACCCCAAAACGGCTTGACACGGGTAGGTCGGCACCCTAGAATGGCCGTACCGGGTAAGTCGGGCACCCCAAAATTGCCCGACAGTATATATGATATGTAATTGTATGGTATGTGGTATGATGGGGGAACTCACTAAGCTTCGTGCTTACAGTTTTCAGTTTTGGTTTCAGGTACCTCTTCTTCGAAGGGGAAGGAGCTGGCGCGGTAGCGGCACATCACATACACGCTTTGTATTCCGCATTTTGAGATCTTCCTGGGGATTTGTACTCTGTCATTATGTTTTTATATACTGGTTTCCAGACTCGCGACATCTTTTATGAAATGATATGATCGGTGAATGTTTTATTTCTAATGTTTTGTTAAGTGTATGTTTTAAAAATGAAATTTTTGGCTCGTATTTTTGGGACGTTACAAGTTGGTATCAGAGCCCTGGTTTCAAGGGATTCAGACACGTCTTTGGGGGTGTCTGAACTCAAATCGAGGGATTAAAAGATTTTAAAGAAGATAATATTTTCTAAAAAGCTAAGTAAAGAGTTTTAAGAAAGAACGAAGTGTGTGATATGCGCGACCGGCCGAGCTCAAGTAAGTACTCCCCAATGTACCCATACAAGTTTATATATGTTTATCAGTTCCAGTAGAACAACATGCTAGAATAGGACTAAGGATCTAGGAGTGATGCCTTATGTGCCTGCTTTATGTGCTTCAGTATATGAAAAATTGCATGCTAGGATTGAGTAGACAACAGTGGGATAGCCTGTTTAGGTTATGCCTAATAGCATGAGCTTAGCATTGTATGCTAGTACAGTTTCCCATTATGAGGATGGAATTGATTGAGTAGTCTCCTATGTCTGAATGATGCTTGCTTTGTGCTTTGTGGGATTCTAAGTGATGGGAGTTAGCCATTAGGTGAATGTGTCATGTCACATGCGAACATGGTTGAATAATCTCAGAGTGCTAGACTTGGTCCTATTGCACAACTCTTGTCTGAGTCTAACCGTTGTAGGGACGAGTCTTTTACTTAAAGGATTATCTGAGCCTCTCTGTATGTGATGGTATTCAGGTGATGGCTAATTGGCATCACAAGGAGGCTTTCAGCAGCTGAGGACTGGATCGGGTATAGTCAGAGGATTCCCTAGGGCACGCCTACGATAGGAGTAGCAGAAATTATTAGCAGTAATAGTGATTTGGTGGAGTCAAGGCAGTACTTGAGGAAAGTACCGATAGATGTGGAAGGTAGTATGGGCCCGTACTACTGGAAGCAGAGGATCCGTACTCGAATCAAGGAAAGCTGAGATGAGACCAGGAAACTTGTGGTAGTAGTGATTCCTCGAGATATATCAGTGTTCCTGACGTTTATTATGTTGTGTTTCAGAATGGTGGTATTACGCCCTAGACCAGCAGTTGGCAGTTCAAGAGAGGGATCGGGTTCGGGATCAGGTTCCGAGCCGGTGGATGAGGGGCTATGCGATTTCATCATGTCAGAGATCACCAGGGGCATCCTTGAGTCGACCCCCATTATCTTCGGGTCGATTAAGGAAGGGATAGTTGAGTTGATGGAGGATCACCTCTGGGCATTCAGGAGCGACGTGGCATCTGGCCAGTCGGGATCTCGCACACTGTCCTTTAAGGACTTCAGGGGCAGTGGTGCGCTGGATTTTCATAGGGCGATGGACCCCATAGCTGCCAGGCAATGGATTGCAAACATTAAGTCTGCACAGATGATTAGCTTCTGTCCTGAGGGGTCGAAGGTGAGATTTGCAGCAGGGTGTTTACGAGATCGAGCAAAGGCTTGGTGGGAGTCCGTGGGTGACTCGTTGGGAGCCTCGACTGTCGAGGCTATGACCTGGTCGGACTTTGCGACCAGGTTCAGGGCAGAGTTTGCGCCGGCTGTCGAGCTTCAACAGCTGGCCAGGGAGTTCTTAGATATGAGGCAAACAACGGAGACTGTGGCTGATGTGTGTAAAACTCACTTAGTTTTAAACCTACATTAATTATCAAATAACACACAAAAGGAAGTGAACCTATCAATTGTGGTATAGCTAAATAAGCAGGGTATCGAACACATGGAACGGCAAATTAAATTAAAAACTAATTCTATCTAAGTTGATTAAGAAATAAGGGTTTTTTTCTCTAGTTTTACAAGACTAGAAACTTACTAACTATAACTAATTTAAGACTAGAAAATAACAATTTAACTAGATTCAATAATTGGAAAGGAACTTCTGTTTAGTTCAACTCGGTTAACTCTATGGTTGATTTTAAGGTAATAGTGCAATGGATTAATTCTTTCGTTGGTTACCGATTCAAGTGATTAGGTTCATGTTCACTACCCTAATCCTTAGCAAATAAACTAACTCAAATAGTGGCTAATTGCTTAATTCAATTATATTTACTAGATTAATTATTCGGGTTAAGTTAGACTTGCAATAGCTAATTAATTTATTATTCTTAATTAACCTCTTGTTTGATGGTCATCTTACAAGCTTGCACATGAATTTACTCAATTTCCTTATTAATTCTAGTTTCATATTCATTA